AAAACCCTGAGATCATGACCTGAACAGAAATCAAGAGTCCGGCGCTTAACCAACTGAGCCCCTCAGGAGTCCTGAAATACTATGGGGTTTTTTTATTATTATTTTTTTAATTATTCATTTGAGACAGCATGAGCAGCAGGAGAGGCAGAGGGAGAGGGAGAAGCAGACTCCCCGCTGAGCCAGGAGCCCGATGTGGGGCTCGATCCCAGGACCCCGGGATCATGACCTGAGCCGAAGGCAGATGCTTAACCATCTGAGCCACCCAGGTGCCCTAATACTATGGATTTTTATATTGATCATGGCCTTGCTAAATTCACTTATCTATGCTAATTTAATATAGATTTTCTACATAAAAAACATGCTGTTTGCAAATGATAGTTTTTTTGATTTCTTTCTAATCTCTATATACTTTATTCTTGCCTTGTTGCCTGCTCTTAGATCTAAGTTTGTTTTTCATCATTAGAACTATGATGCTGAAAAAAAACATGTGACGCTGAACAAAGTTGGGGCCAGAGGACATCCTTGTCTTATTACCAATTTCAGAGAGAAAGCTTTCGCTATTTCTCCCTTAAAATACTGATAGGGCACCGGGCTGGCTCAGTTGAAGGAGCATGCAACTCTTGATCTCGGGCTTATGAGTTCGAGCCCCATGTTGAGTCTAGAGATTATAAATAAACTTAAAAAAAAGAAAACACTTCCATAGTTCTAAAATTTCCACTTGATTTTTTTTTTACATATTGCAAAAACCTTAATTTTTCCACAGTTCTGGAGGTGAAAAGTCAAAATCAAGGTGTTAGCAAGGCCATGCTCCCTCTGAAGATCCAAGGAAGAATCCTTCTATGCCTCTTTCTAGTTTCCATGGTTGCCAGCCAACTTGGTGTTCCTTGGCTTGCAGCTGCATCATTCCCATCTCTGTCTCTGTTGTCACATGGCTTTCTACCTGTGTCCAAATTTTCTTCTTCTTACAAGGACACCAGTCATTGAATTAGGACCCAACCTAATCCAGTATGACCCCATCTTAAAATGATTATATCTGCAGAAGCCCTGTTTCCAAATAAGGTCATAGTCCCAGGTACTGGGGGTTAAAACTTGAACATACCGGGGCGCCTGGGTGGCTCAGTTGTTAAGCATCTGCCTTTGGCTCAGGTCATGATCTCAGGGTCCTGGGATCGAGCCCCGCATCGGGCTCCTTGCTCAGCGGGGAACCTGCTTCTCCCTCTCCCACTCCCCCTGCTGTGTTCCCTCTCTCGCTGTGTCTCTCTGTCAAATAAATAAATAAAATCTTTGAAAAAAAAAAAAAAACTTGAACATACCTTTTTGAAGTACACAGCTTAACCCACAGTGCATACATTGAGTTTTTATCTGAGAATCTCCACATATCAATTCATTCCTTGAACATATTAGTCATAGTTGAAAGTATTGGTCGGATCATTCCAATATCTGCATCTTCCTTCTCTGTGTTTATGTTGTCTGGTGTCAGTTTGTCTTTTATGCCTGGATATTTTTGATAGGGTACAGATATTGTGTACATATATCGGAGGCATAGGATAACTGTAAGACCCATGTGCTATTATCATCTATGAGGGGATGGTGGCAGGAATGCAGCGAGATTTTTAAAAAATTACCCTGAGAACACATGAAGCTCAAAATGGCCAATATGTACTCAATGGAAACCATAAAATGGCAATTCGAGAAGAGCCAAAACTGTGAACCAAACAAAATTCTGAAGGCACCAATTCGAATGTACATTCTGGTTGGGGTGGGAGACCATTAACAAATCAATAAAAAATCAACAGTATGAGAATTAGGACTGAATACAAAGAAGCAGCAGCAAACAGTGATACAGTGATGAGAAGGACAAATGATGGTGCAGTTGTAAGTGGCCAGGAGGCCTCCTAACAAGGGCCTAAAGGAAGGGAATTGGTAATGCAGGGATGCTGGGAATTGGGACAATGGCCCGCAGAGGGAAGGAAGTGTAGTGCCTTAAGGCTGAGGCTGGAGCCTATGCTGTGTTCAGACAACATCTAGGAGCAGGGCAAGTGTAGGAGAGGAGGGTGGGTGAAGATGGAATGTTGTAGGGCCTGCGGTCAGAAGTAGGGCCTATAGGCCATGTTAAGGGGATTTTTCTTTAAGATAAATAGGGTATCTTTGGTTCACTTTGAGCAGAGTTGATCTGATCTTGCCTTAAGAATATTCCTCTGATGGCTGGGTTGAGACTTGAGTAATAAATCCCTCTACAGAGCCAGGCATAGGACCTAACCAGTGATCCACCCAGATGGCTCTAGTCATGCTCCCTTGCGTTAGCTGTTGGCCCTTACTTCTTATAGCGCATTTTACACAAAAATTGAGGATAAGGGGCCCCTGGCTGGCTCAGTCAGTAGAGCATGTGACTCTTGATCTCAGGGTTACAAGTTTGAGCCCCACATTGGGTGTAGAGATTACTTAAAAATAAAACCTAAAAAAAAGGGGGGGGGTAAGGTGCTGCTACCTTCTGGGAAACAGATATTATAATGTTTAAGCCACAAGTCTTAGAATAAAACTTACAACTTTTTCTTAAGCTAGTAGGCCCTTATTTTAAAAGCTCTCAGAGGACTACTCAGCAATACAAAGTAATGAACTATCGATTCATGTAACAACCATATATATAAATAAATGTTATTTATATATAACAGTTATAGAGTACTACATCAAACTTTTACCTTATTTCTGAGTGCTGGGTTAAAAACTGATTTAGCTAAGTGAGATATCTCTGTAATGTTCAACTTTTCTGTAATAAGCATGAAAGATGTTTGCAATCAGAAAAAAATAAGATAGGGGCGCCTGGATGGCTCAGTTGGCTAAGTGTCCGACTCTTTGTTTCAGCTCAGGTCACGATCTCATGGGTTGTGGGATCAAGCCCAGAGCTGGGCTCCACTTTCAGCAGGGAGTCTCCTTGAAGGTTCTCTCCCTCTGCCCCTCCCTCTTGCACCCACTTGTTCTCTTTCTCTCCCTAAAATTAATTAATTAATTAATTAAAAAAAAGAAAATCAGATTATTTAAATTTAAAAATGGGGAAGGGGTGCCTGACTGGCTTACTGGGTAGAGCATAAAACTTTTTTTTTTTTTAAGTTTATATAAGTGATCTCAGTACCCAACCTGGGGCTCAAACTCATGACTCCAAGATCAAGAGTCTCATGCTCTTCCAGCTGAGCCACGCAGGCAGCTGGAGCATGCAACTCTTGATCTCCAGGTCGTGAGTTCAAGCACCACGCTGGGCATAGAGCTTACATAAAAAATAAATATACATACACACACATACATACATATATACATACATAAATGGGAAGGGATATAGATAGTCTCCAAGCAGGCACAGTTACTGGGTTCTTTCTCAGATAGTGATAAATACCAGAAAGGCAAGGTAGCCCAGTCCTTCAGAAACAGCTTAGGGGCAAGATGACCTGCAAGAACCTCTGAGAACCTTGGTCTCCTCCTATGCGCAGATGAAATAATACAAAGTTCCCATCTCATAAGCTGCTGGGAAAATTGAGTTAACAGGAAGTGTTTTTAATAGTGACCTTCACATATTAAGTGTTCAATTGAGTAGAAATTACCCTTTGCTCTCAGATTCTTTCCTGGGCAACCCTTTCTCTGGGAGGCGGCAACAAAAGGAGGGAATTGTGAGTAAAGCCACGTGCTCCTCCAAGGAGAAATAGGCCCGTGGAAGGGGACTCCTCCACACAGGGAAGCCTGGGCAGAGACTTCTCTCATCCTATGGCTACCTTTCCCTCTCCCTACCAAGGGGGTAGCGGTTGAAATGGGGAGTAGGAAGGGGGGGTGGGGGCAGGACTTGTTTTTCTTGGGAATCAGCAGCCCAACTCCAGGGCCCAGCTGCCAAGCTCACAGGCTAACATGGACTCCGACCTGCATGGTGCCCCCTACCTTCCATCACATTCCCTGACTTCTACCCATGATTAATCCAGACCCCGGATGTCCTCCAAGAGCCCCTTGCCCCAGCCTTGGACAGGCAGAATCAGCCTAAACTACTAGGTACCAGCCTGTAATTGGACAAAGTCAGGTTCACTGATGCTGGGCAATGAGGGAGTCCCACATGTTGGGGGCATAGGGGTCATGGGGTCCTTCACCCCAGAGTGGTTGCTTATAGGACTTGAGGGAACTGTGCAGGTTGTTCAGACAAAATTGGAAAAAAGCCGTGTTTGGCAGGCTGAAGGTACAGCAGGACTGGGACTGCAGTCCACCGCGAAGTGGAGCCAGGGAACTAAAACGTTAAGATGGATGTGGAATGTTGTGTCCAGAAACCCTCTAACCAGAACGGGCGCCCAGGTTGGAATCGCTGAATCTTGGGTCAAAGTGGCTTAGGTCCCACTGTGCCTCACTGGCTCAGTGGGTAGAGCATGCCATTCTTGATCTCCCACTGAGTTCGAGCTCCACGATGGGTTTTTGAGATTGCTTAAATAAACCAACTTAAAAAAAAAAAAAGCAGTTTTCGGTCACTCAGAAGGTGGCATTCTGACAAATGTCACTTCAGTGTCTGCCACTCCAGCCCCACGGACAAATGGCCAGACTTTGCTTTCCTAAGTGGAGCTCATTTTTACTTCTCAGATGCAATCCATTCACCCACCAGCGTCCTCCTGTGTCCAAGGAGGAGAGGCACAGGCACCCCAGTGCCCAGGACAGAAAAGCGAGTTTGGAAGCTGCTTTCAGGGGGCTCTGACTCGGGGGAGGGTACTTCTGGGCTCTACGCCCGGTGCTCTCCTGCCTTCCTCCTGCTCCCACCTCCCATGGGGCTCCGGGGGGGAGCCCCCAATTCCCAGCTCAGGAGGGGGTAGGGTTTCTCCCTGCAGTGGCTGCATCTGCCTCCTCTTTGATCTCCTTGCTGATGTTCCACTCATGCTGATTTTTCTCTGGTCCTCAAAAGGCCGATTCGAGTGCTATTCTCTCTCCCAGGAAAGGGGTCTGTGCAGCGGGCTCCTATAATCATTCACCTTTGAGGATTCAGCTCAGATGTCATCTCTTAACCCGATCACATTACCCATGGCTGCCCATGCACGCCCGCTGCTGAAACACACTCGTTTCTTCTTCCCAGGATGCATCAGCTCAGAATCCTGGGGCCTTAAGGGCCTTATAGGATCAGTCCTGGTGGGTGATAAGCTTGGCACCAGCCACCAAGCTCCATGGCTCCCTGCCACCCTCAGTCATCCACTTAGACGGGGGCCGCACTTTCAGCCAGGTGTCTCACGTCTCACTCAGGTTCCTGGACTTCTTGCTGCAGCTCTGGTCCTGCCTTGGAACCCGCCCCCCCCTCCTCATGTGTCCTGTTTCAAGGGCCCTAAGCAGACCTAAGAATCTCATTTTGAGACCTCAGGGCCTGGGATGGGCTGCCAACCCATGGGAGGAAGGGTTCACCTTTCAGATCCCCTGCTCTGGCCTCCTAACCCAAGTCTACAAGTCTGAGGCCTGAAGTCTAGGACACACGATTTCCACAGAATGCGGCCCCGCCCTGAGAAGTGGGGGGGGGGGTCTGGAGCAGTGCACCATTAGATGCACCAACATGGCTGTCCCGTCAGCGCAGATCTGGTGCACCCCAGACTGGGCATCACTGTTTGGCAGGGACAGGGGAGATCTCTGTTGCTTCAGCCTGCTGCCAGGCTCGATGCAGGGAACAGGAGCTGGACTGAGGGTACCTTAGTTCCTTCTGTCCTGGACTACAGAAGATGGCATAAAGGATAAGGCTGCAGGACAGACAAGCTAACGAGGTGGGAGAGGCCATTCCCCAGCCCTACCCTGTACACGTAGGGACCTTTCAAGTGAGGTGTTCCAGGTGTGGACTTTGGCTATATTGGGGAACCTAGATGTGTATGGATGGTCTTTGGTTCTAAGATGCAGGCTTCTTGGGATATGGCTCATAGTAGGGTCCTATAGGATACTATCTAGGCTAGGCAGAGAGTCCATGGGTTTGACTGAGGGTTATTTGGGTTTTACTGGGATGGGTCAACAAAGGAATTGCTTCATTTCCTGAGTTGTGTGAAGGATAGAGAGCATTCACTGAGTGAGGTGGCCTCTTAGTGGAGGGTTAGCCCCTGGGGATCATTCTAGGTTAGAGAATGTCATGGGTACCTGGCTCACTGGGACTTCTAGGGTCTCTACGCAAGGTGTGGAAATTGTAAAGTCCTTTGATATAACACTGAGGTATCTTGCATGGGGTATGGATGAGGCAAGGGGGCAGAAGACCAATTACCAGGTTTTCAAAGTGGGGAGCATGCTGGGAATAGGCCTCAGGACAGACATGTGGCCACAAGAAGCATTAGCAATCCACAGGACCCCCTCGCCACCAGCCACTGAGGGGCCTGAGCATTCCCAAGCAAGACGTCGGAGTCCCTGCCCAGCCTGCCCATCCCTGATCAGACCTACAGAAAGACTCACAAGACACTGGAGGGAGGGATGAGACAGTTTAATTTAGAAATAAGCTTTGGACAGCCTCCTGATCAGAAGGGAACTTAAGGGCCCACCCTGGGGGAGAAAGGCCATCATGAAGGGTAAGGCCCCCAGGTGGGGAGAGAACAGTATGGGAGCTGGTACCAAGAGTGCCACGAAGCTGGTCCTGTGCTCAGCAGGTACTGGCAGAGCCTGAAGAGAGAATGGGAGTCAGGTCCTCACAGACATGGTCACTACAAAGGCAACCCCCTCAGCCTCCAGAAACCCCAAGGCTGGGCTGGCTTAGGACAGCATTACACAAGGCATTTAATAATGCTCAAATACTATGGCCACCCTGCCTGAGGGCCTGGAAGCCCCTCAAAGGAGCCCGTATTACCTGGAGTGATGAGTGGAATGGCCTTCTCAGGTAAGGGGCTAAGAAAGGAACACATCAAATTAGCATCCCCAGACCTTCTGTCCTGTATCCCCCAGGAGGATGCCTGGTGCTCCCTCCCCAGGGGGCACTCTTGCTTGCTATTCTTCCCCTGTCACTTTAAACAATAGCAAGGGTTATAGCTTTCCATTATCAGTGAATAACAAACCCCACTGCAAGCCCACGGAGCAGCCAAGGGGCTGTCCTCTTGCACTAAATTGCAGGACTTTACCCCCAAATAGGTGTGCTCTGCTCCGGGGGCATACAGTGGGGGCCCTGTCTCACCTGTGCTTCTGACTGTACTTGCACTTGCATTTTCCACCTGTGGAAGGAAGAGCTGGTCAGTGCAAAGAACCTGGGGCGCCTGGGCCACCCCACCGCCTACCCCGGGCCCGGCCTGCGAGACCCACCACTCACTCAGGGCTATCAGGATTCCAGCGATGCACAGGAGCCCTCCAAAAATCATCCCGCCCAGCTGCAGGCTTTCCCAGTCTGGGGGAGCAGAGAGTGAGCGGGCACCAGCCCGGCTCCGCCCCACTCACTCACTCGAAAGATATTTATGATCACCTGCTTGTGCAGATGCACTTACAGTTCAGGCAACAAGAAAGACAAGCCAGTAAATAGATACGCGGTATAATCGCTGGTGGGACAGCACTAGGAAGAAAAAATAAGCAGAAGAGCACAGAAAAAGAAGGGAGTTGGAAGCCTTTTTGATCAAGGAAGGCTTTTCTGAAAGGTGGCATTTGCGCTGAGGCTGGGGGGAAAGGGGGCTGTGTAGGGACACTGGAGGACAGTGCCAGGCAGAGGAAGAGAAAAGCTGCTGGGGGCTGTTGAGCAACAACGAGCGGGTGCTGGGGAAGGCAAGTGAGAGAATGGAAGGAAGATTCGGTGAGATACCCGGGGGCCCAATGGCCTCCAGCCCCTTCCCCAGAAATCTTCCTAAATATCCTGTGGGTATCTTCCCTCCTCGCTGGAATGAAGTTCTCCCAAAGACTGTGTTGCATATTGGCCTCTTGCTCTTTCCACAGAGCATGCCGACTCTGTAATCCCCAGTCCCAGCCCCGTTCTGCCCCTCTTTTCTCATTAGCCCTCACCAAGCTCTAGCAAAGAGGTCCAGGATAGGCAAAGGTAGGGGGTGGGGGATGAGGGAGATCAGCTCTTACCATAGTAGAAGGGACTGTCTTTATCTGCAGGAAGCGGGGGGGGGGGAGGGGGGAAGAATAAGAACCAGAACCAGGAGGTAGGACGTGGGGTCTTAGAGGGAAAATGTGGGGCAGCAGGAGCAGGGCAGTCTGGGGCCTCACTCACCAACCAGGTCACTGGCTTCCAAGGCAGGCAGGCCTGGGTGGGAAAAGCATTAATGGGTATTAATTCATGACACTGGTCTCATAATGAATCAGGGGGCATGTCCTCAGCCCAGACCAGCCTCCTGGGTGGGCAGGTTGCGGGGGGGGACCCTCACACCTGCCCCATCCCCAAATAGCCCTGGGATTTTGTCTCTCACCCCATAGCCTTTGCCACTTCCCCCCAGCCCTTCCTGCCATTTCTCAGGCTTCCAGCTAGTCTTTCTTGCATTTGAAATGGAATGGTGTGTTGGTATCTTTTTACCCTCTTGTGAGAAGCTTCCTACACAGATCCTGGCTAATGCCCTGACAGGGAATAGGGAATGCTTCTCTCTTTATGCCAACAGATGGTTACTGTTTTCGAACGTTCAATTATTTAGGACAACTTTTGCAATATCCACTTCCTCCCTGTACTATTATCTCTAGTGTCACTCTTTAAATTGACAGTTTAAATGAAAATACATTTGTTCAACATCAGGCCCCCTTTGGGAGGTGCTGCCCTGGTTTTCACTGCCTTGGGGGGAGGGTGAGTGGCAGCAGGTTCACTTCTGGGAGGACTCACCTGCCAGTGTGAGGAGAAGAGCCTGGGTCACTCTCTTCATGATACAGCTGCAGAGCAGGGCTGCAGGGGAGGGGCGCGGGCTGGGGTCAGACAGCCAGGACCTGGCTGAGGTTCACAGTGCCTGGGGCAAAGAGCCAGGGCACAAATCCTAAGGGTGCACTTGGTTTATGAGGTGGTCTTGGGAAAGTTACTGATTTCTGTATCCTCATCTAGAGATGGTAATAGTAAATGCCTAGTGGAGTTACAGGGATTGAGTTAATACTAGTTAAGTACTTCGAACAATGCTCGCACCTAGTAAGTGATTTGTTAAAGTCTTTAATCAGAAGCCTGACCATTGGTCAGAGGAACAGGGCTACTGTTCTAACTCAGGCTTTGGTTCCTTACCCCCACTCAAAAGGCTAAGAGGCACCCTGAGCTATTGTTCCCAAAGGTCTGGGCCTCGGGCGATATCAGGATGAATTCCAAGATAGTCTCTGCAAAGGGTGAGCATACCCAGGGCTGAGCAGCTGAGGAGGGGAAAGGTGGTAGTGAAAGCATGTGAGGGCCTCCCACCCCAGCCCCAACCAGGAATCCTGCTCCAAGGTAGCCCCAAATCCCACAGCAGGAAACTGCCTGGTGGGCGGAAGGAACATTGCTCTTTTCTTTCTCCTCAGGGTGGGAACTATCCAGGTCCCTAAGAACTAGTTCCTATACGGTGGCTTGACGTAAGACCCCTGCCAGCTTTCTGCATGTTGTTAGCTGCAGGCAAGCTTAGGGACTGTCAGCTCTTGCAAACTGAAGTCCCCCCCCCCCCGCATTATTATCTGCTGGGCCTAGCTGGCTGGAACTCTAATCCCCTCAAAACCACCTAACAGCTGTGTGACTCAGTGGATTACTTCACCTCTCAGTGCTTCAGTGTCCTGTAAAACGAGGACAATTAATAGCAACGGCATAAGGTTATGATTGAATTAAATGAATTACTATATGTGAAGCCTAAGAACAATGCCTAGCACATAGTAAGTAATGAACTGTGTTACAATAAATAAATACAGGGGCGCCTGAGTGGCTCAGTCACTGAGCATCTGCCTTCGGCTCAGGTCATGATCCCAGTGTCCTGGGATCGAGCCCCGCGTCCGGCTCTCTGCTCCGTGGGAAGCCCGCTTCTCCCTCTCCCACACCCCCTGCTTGTGTTCCCCTCTCGCTGTGTCTCTGTCAAATAAATAAATAAAATCTTAAAAAAAATAAATACATAGCCCTCTCTACTTGCTCGGGATGCTGCCTGATTCATGCATCACTTAATAAAGCCAAGTTGATAGATACATACATACATACATACATACATGGGTCCTTTTGCCCTAGACGGGAGGGACTAGTAATGTGCAGCTTCTGAATGTGGGAGTTGGTCAGCTTTTAGCAGTCTTGGAAGCTGGCCCTCCTTTGCACTCATCCCCTCTCACAACCCTGGGATTCCTGAGTCATGAGGGTCAGAGGGTGGGCAATTCCAAAGGCGGGCTCCTGTTTCCTACCCGCCCCCCCCATCCCACTGCCTATATGACAGTGGTCACAGAGCAAACGGCCTCCAATCCTCAAAACCCTCAAACATGCACCCTGTTACTGAGAATACCTGGGCACCCACCACCCCTTCCTCAGACTGGTACCCCCTCCACCCTCACCCTTCTTCCCCCACCCTTCCGCTTAGCAGCCCTGAAGTCCTAGCAGACACTTGCTCACCTGAGAGTCGGGTGCAGATCTAGAGAGGCTGCTGGGGCTGTGTTCAGCCCAGGTAGGTTCCGGCTCTTTAAACCCAGCAGCTCCGCCCAGGGCAACAATACCTGCAGGCAGGAGGGAACTGGTCAGATTCCTTGAGATTCCAGTAGCTCCTTCTCCTCCCCTCCCCCCCACCCCCCCATGAGCTCTTGAGACAGCTTGCGGTGCCACACCCAGTGCAGAGCTGAGCTCCTGGGGGCCCTGGGGCCATCAGAGGCTAAGGGAGTGGTGGGAGAGGGAAGGGCTAGGCCTCAGACCTTTTTCTTGAGGAGAAGGTGCTTTCAGCTTCTTTAGCTCACCTAGATCCTAAAGGAGGGGTCCAGAGGGTTGCTGGAAGGGGGACAGGATATTTCTGGGTTCTTGTGCCGGCGGTGGGGGTGGGGTATCCTGGGGACAGCTGAGTCAAGTAGGAGTCAGGGACTGGCCTTGAGGCTCCATTTGCTCAGTAGTCCCATTGCTTTTCCCTGGACTGGGTGTTTATTGAGGGGGATGGCTGGGGCTGATGGCTTCCTTCAGGATTGCCCACCCTCTGACCAGGCCTGACACCCACTTAGCCCAGGGAAACTGATGGCTAGGATTAGAAACCACCCTGGCCCAGACCCTGGTTTCCTGCCTGCTCCACAGAGTGTGGGGGAGGGGTGGTGCCAGGAGGAGGACTGCCAGCCCCAGGCTGAACAGTGGGTTGCTTCCCTCTGCAGACCCCCATATCTGCCTCACAGGCTTCTGACCAACCTCCCCTTTCGTGCCTCACTCCACCACATGTTTTTGGTCTGTGCCCTTGGTTCTGGATGAACCCAGGCCTCTCCATTCGGTTGTCCCTCCTCCCCAGTTCCTCACTTTGTTGCTTTTACCACTAGATGGTGATCAGCTGAAGGCAGGACTATTGCCTCCCTTACTTCCAATGGCCAGTTACAGACACCAATAAATCGACTGTGATTGGATTGTTGAGTCAATGAGGACAAGAAGCCACTGGAGGCTCCCAGTGCTGGGGATCAGGGGGCAAAACAAAGCCTTGAAAGGCAGGGTGGGGAGGAAGGGGGAGTAGGAAGGGGGAAGATATTCCTAGTATAAACAAGTTACACCTTCTCATGAAAACCTTCCATGGTGCTCCCTGCCTTCAAGATTCAGTTTCTGTGGAGTTCAAGTCCAGGGGCTCTGGGGCCAGGAAGAGCTAGAGTTGAAGCCTTGCCTGCCATTTACTTACTGGGTAAGCTCAGGGAGCTCCTTCATCATTCTGAGCCTCAGTTCCCTCTCCTCTAAAATGGAATAATGACAGGACTGACCTTTGAGGTTTGGGGTGTAGGTTCTGCGGTGGGTTTGGGGCTGCTCCATGATCAGCCCTCAATATGTATTTGTGGACTGAATGTCTCCTAGGCCTGGTGCGAGGAAAGTTTGTTAACCTCCAGATTCAGAAGAACCATTAATTGCACATACTTTGAAGTCAAATCCAGGCTCTGTTAGTTACTTGCTATGTGCACTTGAGCAACTAATTTACTCTCTTCCTGCCTATTTATTCATCCATAAAGTAGGAACCATGACCAAGCCTACTCTGAATGCCTGTGGTGACGATGACATCTGATCATGCTGCTCAGTTCACTGTAACTGTAGCCGGGAATGGCCGTGATATGCACACACACAGATCTGCAACATAAGAGAAAGGGGGTCGTCAGTAGCGAGCCCCACCTCCCCATGGAGGAACCACATTCCAGAGAGGAGAAAGGTCTTGCTCAAGGCCACATTTTGCCTTGGTAGTGGAAGGAGGTCTCAGCCCAAGTGATCAGACCCTTCAGCTGAGTTCTTCTGCCCTGTCAGGCTACAGTGAGGAAGAAGCAGCCCTGAAGCAGGCATTTGTAAAAAGGTGACCTTTTAGGTCCCAAGGGCCCTCTTTGCTTTGGGAGGTCTCCAGGAAGTATGAAAAGGACCTCACATCCCCTTCTCCAAAAGCATCTTTGCTCTGCCCTGCAGCTTCTTCCCTTGTCAGGGATCCTCCACTCCCATCCCCGTCCCCATGAGACAGTGTCATCTTTAACAGGTAGAAAGAAAACTTCACCTGAGCCTGGTGGTATTGACACTGGTCCAAGGTAGGGGGACAGGTTGAGCCTGGCGCAGAGCCAGCGAGAGGGAGCCCAGCTACCTGTGTGTGATTTCTGCAAGCACAATGGTAAGTCACCACCTCATCTCTTCCTTTTGCCCAAACTGGTGGTAGGTGTAGGTGGCACCCTGGCTGAAAGAGTGCATCTCTCCCCTCTGAGGGGCCTCAAAGGCTGGCCATTCACTCAGTGGCAGGCAGCAATGCCTTCTTCACTGGAAGTGGTGCGAAGTCAGTTCCCAGGTTAGTGAATTTATCTTCTTAGATATTAAAGCCAGTACTTACACATGGTCATGAAACTGGGTGTTGAAACCTTTAGATGTTTGGTATATTAAGAAGTGTTTACTAACCTGTCCTTTCATGGAGTGTTTAGGATGAACAACTGCTCGTTCTATCAAAGTATAATTCCTGAGAGGCTGGACTGGTGGGGAAGGCTGTTTTCAGGAAATCACTTTCAAGGAGGGCTGGCTGCTTGCCCTGCTTCTTGGACATGCATTCCTCATCAGAATCTCTGGAGCCATCCATTTGGGTCTGATTTCTTTTCTTTTCTTTTTTCTTTTCTTTCTTTCCTTCCTTCCTTCCTTCTTTCTCTCTCTCTTTCTTTAAGATTTTATTTATTTGAGAGAGAGAGAACATGAGCAGGGGGAGGAGCAGAGGAAGAAGAAGACTCCCCGCTGAGCAGGGAGCCCGATGCAAAAGCTGGGCTCGATCCTGGGACTCCAGGATCATGACTTGAGCCGAAGGCAGACACTTAAGCAACTGGGCCACTCAGACGCCCCATGGGTCTGATTTCTTATCTTCCAAATGGGAGACTGGGTAAGAGGCACTGAGGCTTACAGGGAAATCAAAACTTGGGGTGATGGAAGGCTGGGAAGAATGGGTGATGGAGAGCCAGACTTAGTTGGGTGGGTGCAGATGACAGCCCGGAGGTATTAAAAGTTGAGAGTGAGAAAACTGAAAGATCCAGTCTGAACTCTTTCTTCCCCTTCTGGAGTCAGTGTTGCAAAGGATACAAAGGGCCTTGTGTGGAAGGAGGGAAGTCTGCTGCCAAGAGTGGCCTCCTGAAAATCAGCCCTGATGCCCAGGATCCTGCCTCTGCTCATGTCAGTCACTGCCACACCTCCTCACACTCCCAAACTGTGCTTTTCCCTTCCGCAAGCACCAATTATTGCTCTGTGAAAAACAGAGATTCATCCTCAAAGCCATTAACTTCCCTGAGGAAAGGTAATAAAACAGGAATTGTCTAAGATTGACCAGAGGTAAAATAAAAGGGAAGTGGCTAGTATCTTCCCTGGCACATAGTGGGAACATAATGCGTTTTTTTCCTACCTTCCAAGAGGGACTGAATATCAGCATCAGTAGAAGGCTGAGATTGTCTGTTTTGAGGGGGTCTGGTAGAGGAGGGAAAAGACCCCCCATTCCTGAGGGGAGAAGTGATCTCTGTTCTCTGAGGTTTCTCCCAGTTGTCTCCAATGTTTCATCCCTATAAGAAATACATACTGAATTCCCACCTGGACCCACTTCCTGTGCTCTGTCGCCCTCAGTCCCTCAGGAGTCCCCCTGCTCTTCTTCCCCTCTCTCTGCATTTTCAGCAGGTCCCCCTCTGTGTGTTCAGAGAGCTGGGCTCCTACTGGTCTGGGGCACACAGATCTGGGGCTCACTCCCTTTGATGATGGGGGGCAGGGGTGGGAGAGAAAGACTGTGAGAGGAGGGTAGCGGGTGTAAGACAGGGTGCAAGGGCGGCCATCTGAACGGTAGCGGCGGTCTCTTGTGCGTTAGGAAGGCAGGAGGAGGGGGGCCTTCGCTGCGGATTCTAAGCGCCTTCTGGAAGAGGAGATACGGAAACGTTGAGGGGGCGACTGTCTCACGAATGGGGAAAGATGAATCTCGGTGGCAGCCACTCCCTTCAGGAGTGTGTAGTAAAAGCCTAGCTCTCTTTGGCCGACTCCCGCCTCCAGAAACGACTCCTCCGCTTCTAGGAGGCCCCTTCCAAGAGGCCATCCACTATCATCCTCCCCCTTCGCGCAAAGAACCGAGAAACACTCAATCAGAATAGAACCATGGTGGCTTCCAGCCAATCAACACTAAGAGATGGCTGTTGAGGCGGGTTCGCGGGTGAAGCCGCCTGTGGGGCGAAGGCCCAGGCAGTGTGGGCGGGGCTTTTCTGTCGTCCCTCCTCACGCGGATTGGCTGCTCCGGTTCAACAGCGCGTTTGTCAAGCAGCCGCCCTATTACGCATGCGCAGCGGCTCAGTCCCCTCTTTGCCCTGTAAAGGTCGTGACTGTTTTAAAAAAATCTTGCCGGAGTCTTTGTCCGTGAGTTCGTACCTTCGTGCCCCGGTATTGTCACGGCTTTCGGGAAGTTGTGGTCTTTGGTAACTGGGACGCTAGAGTCTGAAGGATAGCTGAGGTGAAGGGCCCGCACAGCTGCCGAGCCCAGAGCAAGCCAGGGAGGAGGAAGCCAAGAGCAGGGCGGCCTGGGGAACGGGCCGGGAGGAGGCGAGCTGCATGGAGTGAGGCCAGAAAGCCGGCAGGGGACCTTGGACTTGGGGAGGGCTTCACACAAGGGCGAGATATGAGGCTGAAGACCTGTGCAGAAGGAGGGAGGCGGAAACTGTTCACTGAACTTAGGTCAGGCGACGTCAGTTCTCATTTTGTTGTTTCTGTTAGACCTCAGTAATGCTTTCCTCCCACCCACAGGTCCCTTAGCATACTTGTCCAGCTACTATGCGTGTCTCTCATAAACCAGATTTCTCAGCTCTCGACCTTGTAATTAAAGTATCTTGCGGGCACGCCTCCTCTTCACTTCCTAGGGGTACTTGACAGTCAACAACTTCCAAAAAAATCATTCCCAGGTGCCTGGCTGGCTCAGTCGGTAGGACTCTTGATCTTGGGGTTGTGAGTTCGAGCCCCACGTAGGGTGTAGAGATTACTTAAGGGGCACCTGGGTGGCTAAGTTGGTTAAGTGTCTGCCTTCAGCTCAGGTCATGATCCCAGGGTACTGGGATCAGTGTCCCTCCCCTCTGCTTTCTCTCTCAAATAAATAAAATCTTAAAAAAAAAAAAAACCAAAAAAACCCAACTTCCCGTTGTCACTCACACACACACACAACATATTTCAGAGTTCCCTATCTTAGGTCACCCCTTTATCCACCTGGCCACACAGGCCACCACTAAGCACATAAGGAGATTCTCTATTGATGTGTCTGCTCCTCGGGCTGTGACTCCTGTCGTTCTTGGTGACAGCAGCTTTGTCCACAAGAGCAGCTTAAGTGAGTGCTTGCTACCTGGCAGGCTGTTTTCCAGCACTTCCCATGTGTTAACTCATCCTAACAACAACCTTTCTGGAGAGGATTCATCTGATTTCAGGATGAGGAAATGAGGTGAATGGTTAAGTGAAGCTCTAGGCTACACAGCTGGAAGTGGCTATCTAGCCCCAGAGCTGGCTCTTAACCACCACTCTCCACATTAAACTGTGTGCGTGATTTATTTTTAATATGATTTTAAAACAGCTCTGTTGAGAAACGATTTACCTACCAAGCAATTACCCCATTTAAAGTGTACAATTCGAGGCGCCTGGGTGGCTTAGTTGGTTGAGCGATAGCTCTTGGTTTCAGCTCAGGTCATGATCTCATGGCTTTTGGGATGGAGCCCCGCGTTGGGCCCATGCTCAGTGGGGAGTCTGCTTGAGATTCTTTCTCTCCCTCTCTCTTTGGCGCGCCCCGCCCCCCGTGCGTGCTCTGTCTCTCAAATAAATAAAATACATCTTTATTTTTATAAAAATATTTATTTATTTGACAGGGAGGGAGAGAGAGAGAGCACAAGCAGGGGGAGCAGCAGGCAGAGGGAGAGGAAGAAGCCCTGTTGAGCAGAGAGCCTGACATGGGGCTCCATCCCAGGACCCTGGGATCATGACCTGAGCCGAAGGCAGATGCTTAACTGCCTGAGCCACCCAGGTGCCCCTAAAATACAACTTTAAAAATTAAAAACTATATATATATATATTTCTCTTTGGGGTGTGTGTGTGTGATTTTTATGCAGATAATAATTTTTAGATGTTAAAAAACTTTTTAAAAGTAATTTCGATGCCCAATGAGCAGCTTGAACTCGCAAACCTGAGATCAAGAGTTGCATTCTCTACCAACTGAACCAGCCAGGCACCCCAATTTCATTTTCATTTTTATTTTTTTTAAGTAAACTCTATGCCCAATGTGGAGCTCAAACTCACAACCCCAAGATCAAGAGTCACATACTCTACAGGCTGAGCCAGCTGGGCACCCCTAGATATTTTGAGTCAGTAAGTGTACTTTTTATTTTCACTAGGGTGCCAGTTGTCAAAAAGGTGGTATCACTCTACATGTATATGTGTGCCATGCTTTCTAAAATAAGTTATAGAGGTTCCTGACTGTCTCAATTGGTAGATCATGAAACTCTTGCTCTTGGGGGTCATGAGGTTATGCTGCACCTTGGGGGTAGAGTTTACTTAAAAAAAAATTACAATTTGATTTTACAACTTGTCAAAGTATTTTCATTCTAATATAATTAACTTGATATCTGTTTAATAATTCAACACACTTTTCTTTCCTTTTTTTTTTTTAAGGATTTTATTTATTTATTTGTCAGAGAGAGAGAAAGCGCATAAGCAGGGTGAATGGCAGGCAGAGAGAGAAGCAGTCTTCCTGCTGAGCAGGGAGCCTGATGTGGGACTCGATCCCAGGACCCTGGGATCATGACCTGAGCTGAAGTCAGACACTTAACCACCTGAGCCACCCAGGTGTCCCTCAACACACATTTTGAATCTCACCCCAGTTCTAGGAACTGGGGGCTCTGAACCAGGCAATGCAAAGCTCCTGCCGCCAGTGGCTGACATCCCGGTGAGGGCAATGAATTGGAAAAAGAAATAGATGGTACAATATTTCAAGTACTGATTGACAGGAGCAGTGAAGACACAAAGCAGCTGAGATGTGGAGAGTGATGGCAGAGAGAGATAGCTTTCTTAGACTGGGAGGTCAGAATTGTTCAGTGATAGAAACAGGGCTTTTGTGTGTGTGTGTGTGTTTTTAAGATTTTATTTATTTATTCATTCGTCAGAGAGAGAGTGAGCACAAGCAGGGAGAGCTGCAGGCAGAGGCAGAGGGAGAAGCAGGCTCCCTGCTAAGCAAGGAGCCTGATGCGGGACTCGATCCCAGGACCCCGGGATCATGACCTGAGCCAAAGGCAGACGCTTAACCAACTGAGCCACCTAGGCATCCCGAAATATAGGTTTAAAACATTTGTATGCCACGGTCAAATTTCCCTTTGCCATTTTTTTTTTTCTGGTTAAATTGAGCCAGTGAGGTCAAACATATACCCAGGTTTTAGGTTAGAGCATAATTTACAAAAAGGGTTTTTTACCTAGAGCCAGTGGCTCTCATTCCAAGAAATGCCTCTCCATCAAATCTGTTTCTTTGTTAAAACAAGACAGGAGGCCCCCAAATGGAGTCACTTATGCTAAGTCCCACGTCACCAAACTTAGACTTAATTTAATTACAGTTTTGACTCTTTCCAAAATGGAATCTTAAACCCGTCAATCAGGAACTACCTGATCAGCACTAAAGGGGTAATCAGCCTGATAGACCCCTGCCATCTCCTAAAGGAAAGTGACCTTGCTACAGCCAATCCACTTTTTGCTAGTATAACGTCTTTGTTCCTGCTCCCTTCTGCCTAGAAAAGTCTTTCATTTTGTACAGTGCCTCAGAGCTCCCTTCTGTCTGCTAGAAGGGATGTTGCCAGATTCATGAATCATTGAATAAAGCCAATAAATAAGATCTTTAAAATTTACTTAGCTGAATTTTGTTTTTTAAACAATCTATATCTTTATATAAATTTGTTATAATAAGTGTCTTATAAGGAAAATTACTTAGTTATTGGCAGTAATAGAATAAAAGAATGTTTTTACTGGCACTGTTAAAGTTGAAAGATCAAAAACGGTCGTTCAAGGGGCGCCTGGGTGGCTCAGTTAAGGGTCTGCCTTCAGCTCAGGTAGTGTTCCCTGGGTGCTGGGATTGAGCCCCTCATTAGGCTCCCTGCTCAGCAGGGAGTCTGCTTCTCTCTCTCCTTCAGCAGCTCCCCTTCTTTGAGCTCTCTCTGTCAAATAAATAAATAAAATCTTTAAAAAGAATGAAAAAGTAAAAACAGTGGTTCAAGAGACCAAAGACACTATGATTGGAAAGGGTCTGCACTGAAGCTGGTTTTATTTCTGTGCTAGCACAGAATGTTGATTATGAATGTCAGTAGTTTCTAGAAGCTTGTCAAGTTAAAGAATGCATTGAATTTGTGGCCGCTTGAAATCTGAATTCAAATACAATCAAAGCTGGACAAAGTCTTTGTTGTCTCCACTGCATTAGCTAATTTAAAAACCCTGCAACATTTTGCTGTCATTTGTTATGCAGTTTTACCAGTACACAAAGGGAGTTAGTGTTATGTTCTACTCTAATCAGACTACAAAAGAGAATAACAAGTTCCTCCAAGCAATGTTTACCAAACTAAAAAGAACTATTGAGAAACTGAAGTTTAGTAAACAATGGGAAATAAATTATAGTATAAAAATTAAGTAGCAATTTTAACTTTTTTCCTGTAATGTAAAATAAGAATGCCTTGTAGGTTGATGTGTAAAGTCTTGAGAGAGCTATTACTTACCTTCATGTTCTTAATAAACTAGTAAGATATTAATATATTAACTTCTAATGATCAACATTGGGATTTTCCACGGTGAGGGCTGTAGCCATTCCTTCTACCACACACCCTTGGAGAACCAGTTTTGCTGCTAGAGGTGGGTGGAGTTTGCTATATTCTACCCTTTCATGCATGGTGACTGAGACTTTCTAGGCTTCTAGGTCTGGGCACAGTGGGGTACACAGATCTCAGTTCTCTTTCTAAAGGGGTAGACCTGTTTTGAAAAACAGTATTGCTTCTGAAAACTGAAATTGTGTGAACCTGGTGCCCAGCGACAATGCCCCATATATGCCCCAGAAGACCCCCGTGGGCAGATCCCGGAAGTGGAAGCTGAAGCCACGCAATGCTGGAAGTTCTCTCTAAGAAGAGAATGCAAAATTATGAACATAATGTTTGTGTGAAAGTTTATGTATGTGTATATATATATATTATATATATATACTTGTATGTATATATATATTATATATATACTTATGTGTATATATATATTATATATATACTTGTATGTATATATATGCCATATATTTACCATATAATATATATTTATAAATAATATATAATATATAAAATAATTTTAATAATAATAATAAAATGTATATATGCCATATATAATACATATTTATAAATAATATATAATATATAATAAAAATATGTAATATATATTTAAGATTTTATTTTTAAGTAATCTATATACCCATGGTGGGGCTCAAACCTACAACCCCAAGATGGAGGTGGCATGCTCTACCGACTGAGCCAGCCAGGTGTCCCTGAAGGTTTATATTTGTTTAGAATGACAAAGCAAAGCAATTGCAAATTTAAAAAAGCTGACGACAAAATTTTTAATATAACACATTTTTAAATTAATTGCCTATCAAG